AGGGAACACTCAAATAACACATCCTAGACCTGAATGAATGAAATATTCTCATTGAATACTTTGTTCTGTACAAAGTTGAATGTGCTGACAACAAAATCACACAAAAATCATCAATGGAAATCAAATTTATTAACCAATGGAGGCCTGGATTCGGAGCCACACACAAAATTAAAGTGAAATGTTCCCTTTATTTTTTTGAGCAGTATATATTGACAAAAAAAAAAAAAAACATTTTGTCTTTTCTGCAAAATTCAAAAACTGCAGAAATCTTGGTATAAGATAAATAGCATCTGAAAAGGGCAAAGGAAATCTTATGTTTTTTAAACAATAATATTTGTTGTTGATCTGTTGCTAAGAGATAAGGGCGATTTCTGGTAACCACGTGCCACAAAGTAAACATCTGATTCTTATTTTTTCAAAATTACCAACTCTTAATTTGTTGTGTCTAAGCAGATGAGCAGTATTTCAAAGGAACTTATGTTTTATAAACAATAATATTACTTGTTATTAATTTGGTGTTAAGAAAGGAATGTGTTTTTCTGGTAACGAACTGCCACGAAGTTTAAATCAGATTTTTACTTTTGTGTTGAGTATCTTTTTTTTTATAATACATTTACTATCAATGACCAAAATAAAAAAAACATTTCCATTTCTCTGCAAAATACATCAACTGCACAATTCTTAGTATAAGATAAATAGTATTTCAAAAGAGTGGAGGAAATCTTATGTGTTTTGAACAATAACAATATTTGTTGTTGGTCTGTTGCTAAGAGATAAGGGCGATTTCTGGTAACCACGTGCCACAAAGTAAACATCTGATTCTTATTTTTTCAAAATTACCAACTCTTAATTTGTTGTGTCTAAGCAGTATTTCAAAACAACTTATGTTTTATAAACAATAATGTTACCCGTTATTAATTTTATGTTAAGAGAGGAACGTTTTTTCTTTTTCTGGTAACGAACTGCCACGAAGTATAAATCAGATTTTTACTTTTGTGTTTAATGTCTGTTGTATAATATATTTACCATCAATGACAAAAGAAAAACATTTTCTCTTTTCTGGAAGATTCACCAACTGCAGAATTCTTAGTATAATATGAGTAGCATTTCAAAAGAGCAGAAGAAATCTTATGTTTTTGGAACAATAACAATATTTGTTGTTAATCTGTTGCTAAGAGATGAGGGGGGATTTCTTGTAACCAAGTGGTCATAGAACCTGATGGGTTGTTGATTGCAGTTAAACACCCTCAACGCACAGCCAGAACTAGAGTGGAGTGTTTTAGAGTAAAGCATCAAAGAGATGTATTAGAACGGCTTAGTCAAAGCTCAAACCGAAAACTGTTCAAAAACAATCTTTAGCAAAGTTGTAACATTAGGAAGAAATGGTCAGTCATACCTGAATTGACTTGGATGTCATACAACTTTTCAGCTTTTACTTGGTAGATATACACATAAAATCTCCCAAAAATACATCGCAATTTTACAAAATGTGAAATTGTCTGAGAATACATCAGCAGGATACTGTTAATCAGACAAATAGCTGTCAGATAACATTTGCGCAGTGTGATACAGCTACATGAAGAAATCTATTTAATAGGAGTATACATGGGGAAATCTATTTAATAGGAGTATACATGGAGAAATCTATTTAATAGGAGTATACATGGAGGTGCTCTGAAACTGTCAGACATTTAGACTGTAAGCCAGTGCAATGTTTAGGGTCAGACCGTATGGATTTTGCAACATATAGTGGCATTATGTTCTCTTGTTTTCCTCACCCCTGCATCCAGTGTCACTTCAGCCTTATCGCTGTGTTGCTACCTTCACCTCACTGCTCCCTCTCTGCATCTCATCACACCACTTCTCTCATTCTTTTTCATGCTTCAGTAATTGTCTCCTCACCGCTCCTCCATTGCAGCGCACAACTCCACCTATTGTCCACACTTCTTTCCATTTATCTCCTGCAAGATTCTTCCCTCCCTCTTGCTGTTTTCTCTGTTCTCCTTACACCCCAATGTCTCACCCTCATTCTCTCCGCTGATAGCTGCAATATCGTGTGAGCAGAATGCCAAATGATTCCCACAGAGCAGGCAGACTACGCTTTAGTCACCTTGACTGACAGACGCAGACTGTCGGTCAAGAATTACTATTAACAGAATTACTATTAAATTACAAATTATTATTAACATCTGTGCAGTCGTAAAGTGGTTGGATCTGCCAAGTCAATCCACTGATTAGACATTTTGGAAATAAACTCCCTGTATTACAACAAGAGGTTCAAACATGCTGATTTGGAGCAACACAGAGTGAGGGAGAAGTGTCTCACCGACAGTGAGGGATCGTGGGTAGTGTAGGTGGCCCAGCGTTCATTTTCCAGCTCCTCCATCACCTACAGCATGCACAGAGAGAGACAAACAGGGACACACATACTCACTGAAAAGATACTTATAAGCACACACATACAGCACCCAATATTTCACACTTAATTTAACAACTCAGGCAGTGAGAAGGTGAAGCACATGCACACAGACATCTTGTGTGTTTTTCTCACCTCCGGGGGGGGAAGAAAAAATCACAAACCTGGTTCATTGCACTCTTCAGCCAAGTATCTACAGCCACTCCAACTTGCCGCAAAAGGTCCAATCGAGCCTCAGCTTTCAACTTTATTGTCTTTGGAGAAAGAAGCGATAAAAAGAGGTAAAACATACTTCAGTTTCTGCTGAATTATTTTCTATTTTGGTAGTGTTCCCCCTGAGTGGAAACTGAGTGAATTAATTTTACACCTCAAAAGTGATACATTTGTCCCATGTTGTGACCTTTATAAGAAATCATTAAAACTTGCCTGTTTCTTTTAATGCGCTGTAAACACTGAGCGCTCTACATGAGAGGACGTGATAATGCTGGAACAGCCAGCTGGGTAATTTCTCCTGAGTTTCGGTTTCTCTCACCTGCTTTTCATCAATTTACTCTTGTTTCCAGCTTCTTTCCTCTCCCTCTATTGCTGACAGAGCAGACGGATAGCTGATAGGCTAATAGCACAGGGGACTTAAGTCAGACTCGCTTACTTTAATCAATAGAGACATGCTTCACTGAAGTGCATTGCTTTTTTCTATTACCAACAATGAACACTAGATAAAAAAGACCATACTTGGCTCACTCTACTAGACCCCAAACATACAAAGTTGATAGGAAAAGTTGAAACATCGTCTCTTACGCTGCCTTAAGAGAGCTATGAGGAGCGCGACATTAGCATAGCTCAATAAAAGCAGCTAGTGGTGGGAGTGATCACTGGTGGGCAGGCAGCTTCAAGTCAGACAATCAGTCTGGCTGAGGAGTGTTAATCGATACAATTATCACTGAAAGAAAGTGGAAAACTAGATGGAACGATAGACCAGGAGAGAGTGGCTGCAGGAGAAAAATACAACTGAAGACAATACATTGTAACAAACAGGGACATCGGGACAGAGGACTGTAAATGTGGGCAGAATTCAGGTGAATTCAAAACCTGAAGGGAAAAGGTCAAATGATATGAATGTGCAGATACACTAGTCTATGAAATGGGAGATTTTTGTCTGTAACAAAGTTAATGTACATAGGCACTGGTCTTTTAAAAAGACAATATAAAAAAATAGCTCTATAACTTCAGATGGAGAGGTGTATAACCACATGCTTGATCAAAATGACAAAATACAAGTGTCATTCTTTCATGACTGTGCTCATGTCTCTTCCTCCTAACTTACTAATTGTGTCGATACCGGCCTATTGCAACCTCATTATGAGATGAGACTTCCAATCGGTTCCCCAGGAGCACATATTAGTCGGGTTTGAACTGGCAAAAATGGATTTCAGGGCAAGACCTTCCTTAGCATAAATATTTAAACAAGGACAGATTGATTGTTGGGTGCTACAGCAAAAAACTACCATGGAGGCACTTTCTTGGCTCTGTATCTCCTTCTCCTTCTCATCCAACCTGTGTAAACCTAATGATGGAAAGAAGCACCAAATATGTCTACAAATCATCAAAGTCCAGTTTTTTTAGACACCATTCAAACCACTCTGACAATCCAGCAGTTCTGCCCAAAAGATTGGTCAAATACCCAGCCAGAATTATGACTGAACCTCATTAATTAGCTATGGCTGAGGTGCAAGGTAGAGGCTGCATGCATATATTTAAGCCTATATTTATCATTTTTAGAATCAGGGTTTATACAGGAATCCTAGACTCAAATTTACTACCTTTTACTACCACTGCAGTATTTTTACTACCAACACAAAATTGAGCAGCAGTCTCTTTTGGGGGAGTGGTGAATTCTAGGGGTGCACTGATTTATCAGCCAGTTGATTTATCAGCACAGATTTCCTTAATTTTGAGAGATCGGTGATCGGTCGATATTTACATTGTGAAGCCAGTCTTATCCCCCAATCTTATCTACCTCAGCAAAGGTCTGAAAATCAGCCACTGTCCTCTTCTGCTCTGCTGTGAGAGGTTTGACTGATAGACTGACTCACAAGGTTATGACTCCATGGTTGAAGTTAATAGTGACCCCACTGTTCCCAAAAGCAAGTTTTAGTGACATTCCAGACAAAAAAAAAAAAAAAAATTGGATAGAACAAAATCGGAATCGGCAGGTCAGGGTTTTTAAAGATTGGTAATCTTTAAAAAGATTTGCTACTTTAAACAAAAGAGAGGGCAGAAGACATAGGGCAAAGGTCAACAAGAAAACAAATTAAACCAACAGTCATCTTTTTGGACTCTGGGAGGAAGCCGGAGAACCCGGAGAGAACCCACCAGTGTACTTGGAGAACATGCAAACCCCATGAACACAGAAGAACCCAGGCAGGAATTCAGATCCAGGCAAACATTTTATTCAAAAAAAAGAAATGTTTTACACACCAACAGAATTTAGAGACCAATTAATTAAACAGTCGTGATTTTAAACTGTGGCAGGAAGCCAGAGTGCCCGGAGAGAAACCTGCAAATAGGAAACCTGTCAAATCTTTTTACCTTTCAATCTCATAATTTAACTGAACACATCAGGACACATGTTCGGTCCCAGTCAGATTTCTCCAGCCTCAAAATGGTCAATAATCATCTCTTCTGT